CTGTTTTCAAGAAGAAGGAAGAATTCTTGGCAGCAAAGGAGGCTCATGTCACACAAGTTAAACATCTCCAAGAGCTTAAAGAAGAAATCTCTAACGTTGAAGCCAAGCTTTCAGAGTTAAGAAACCAAGTTCCTCTTGCGGAGTAAACTTAGAAGAGTTTGACAGATCAAAGAAACAAGCTCCGCGTTGACATGGAAGTTGGTTTGAAATCTGCTGACAAGATCAAGGATCAGCTACCTTCTTTCACAGCCTCTGCAGATGAAGCCGCTGAAGAAATCAAGAACATGAGAGAAGAATGTAGTACCTGGCAAAACAACCTTTGTTGATTTTTCTTTTATGTATATCCTTTGCTTTTTGCTAGTTGAACTTGCACATTGTCATGTTTGAACTTATTGTTTGCTGCCTATTGGCCATGCAAACTTCTTTTTCAATGTTGATCTCTTTCTTGGCTCATGTTTTGGAAATCTGCTTCTTGTACTTTTTGTTCATACTCTGTTACAGTTAAAATTTGACATGGCCAAAATCTGGCCGCTGTGGTTGTGGTTGTTCACAGCCAGATTTGGCCTACTTCTTATTGAATTGAAAAAATGCTTAAAAAGAAAATAGGTTAAATACCATTTTTGGTCTCTCTACTGTAAGAAAAAGTCTTTTTTTGGTTCTTGTACCGAAAAAATCTCTTTTTTGGTCCTTACTGTTCATAAATTCGATTTTTTTTTAGTCCTTTCGTTAAATTTTAACTGATGTGACAGGTTAATTAACGGAAAAACTCATTTTGTTTTTTTTTTATTAAATTACGTGAAAAATTCATCTGGCAAAAAATGATGATATGGTTAAATTTTTTACTTTTAATTGCTGATTTGCCCTCAAAGATTGATGACATGGTAAAATTTTTTTCTTTAATTACTAATTTACCCTCTTCTTTCTTCCCCATCCTCTCCTTCCTCCGGCTTTTTCTTTTTTTTCTTTTTCTCCTTTTACCTCTAGGCGAACCCAGGAGTCTGGGTTTGCGAGGAACCTAGCTCGCGGGTTCGCACCTAGGAGCTTGGGTTCCTCGCGAACCTAGCTCGTGGGTTCGCACCCAGGAGCCTGGGTTCGCAAGGTGCAAACCCATGAGCTGGGTTCGCACCCATGAGCTGGGTTCGCGAGGAACCCAGCTCGTAGGTTCGCACCCACGAGCTTGGGTTCCTTGCGAACCCACGAGCGTTTTTCTCCTTCATATTAACACTGGTTGGTTCATTTTGTTTGTTCGTTATGGCTGCCTTTTAGGTTTTGTGAACCCATGTTGTTGGGTTTGCCTGGAGGTAAAAGAAAAAAAAAGAAAAAAAAAGGCTAGAGGAAGGAGAAGCCGAGGAAGGGGAAGAAGATGAGGGTATATCAATAATTAAAAGTGGGATTTTCCACGTGGATTTAGCATGTCATCAATTTTTGTCACATGGATTTTCCACGTAATTTAATGAAAAAAAAAAGAATGAGTGTTTCCGTTAATTAACCTGTCACGTCAGCCAAAATTTAATGGAATGACTAAAAAGGGGCCAGATTTGTGAACAGTAATGACCAAAAAGGAGATTTTTTCGGTACAGGGATCGAAAAAGGGCTTTTTTCATATAGTAGAGGGACCAAAAAGAGTATTTAACCAAGAAAATATTGTACACATCCCACCTCAAATCTGTCTCAGGTAGAATCAATGGTATCCAAACCCCTAGCCTCCCATATCATAAGATAGTAAGGCTTAAGGTAGATTCCATTTATTTTTCGAGGATGTAACTCACCATTTAATGATTCAAGCCAATATGCTCTTCCTCTAAGCACTTCATGTATACGAAATGGTCCTTCCCAATTTGGAGACCATTTCCCAAATCTAGGGTCTTTCTTTCCAAGTGGCAGAATTACTTTCCATACCAGATCTCCTTATGCCATACTTCTAGATTTCACCCGTTTGTTGTATGCTCGAGCTACTTTTAATTTCTGCATTTGCAACCTACCTAAGGCCGTCAATCGCATACCTTCCTGGGCTTCTAACTCTAGAATCATTGCTTCATTATATTCTCCAGAAGTGAGACCATGTTGAATTGCTATACGCAATGATCTAGCAGATAACTCTATGGGCAGAACAACATCATGTCCATAAGTTAAAGAGAATGGAGTTACCTTGGTAGAACTCCTTTGTAAAGTTTTGTAAGCCCAGATTATGTCAGATAACAACTCATGCCAACACCTTAGATTATTATCAACCATTTTTTCCAACAGATTTATCACAATTCTGTTGGAAACTTCAGCTTGACCATTGGCTTGAGCATAATGAGGGGTTGAAGTGAGTAACCTAAATCCCATTTCTTTTGCAAACGCCTCAACTTGTGCACCAACAAAAACTGTTCCCTAATCTGAAGTCACTGTTTCTGGCAAACCGAATCTGTGAATGATTTCTTCCTTAAGAAATTTAATAATATCAGCCTGGTCAACCTTCTTCATTGGATTTTCTTCCACCCACTTGGTAAAGTAATCTGTGGCAACAATAATAAAAGAATGCCCCCTAGTTGAAGGAGGATAAACTTTACCGATCAAATCTATGGCCCATCCTCGAAATGGCCATGGTTTGACGATTGGATAGAGTT